ATACTTCGGAGTCCGCTGCCCAGGGTGCAACCAGCAGCGAGACTCAGGTGGAGCCTACTTCGTCAGAGCAAGGCAACGTGTCATCGAGTTCTACGGGGGCTGCCGTGACTACGTTCCCCACTGGACACGCTGGCGTGGACAGTGGAGTGCGTGTCGAGGCAGCGCCCAGCGGGGTGGAGCCCAACACTCGGCCTTTTGTCTGGAATCCTGAAGCTCATGTTTTCAAGTTACCTCAGTACGCTCCGTGCATTGAGTGGGGTCTGGTCCCTCCAGTGGATGCTTGCACACCGTCAGTTCCCAACGGGTCGACCACCCATCCCAGAGAGTTTCAAGAGCCGCCCCCCCAAGGTTTGGAGAACACCGAGGTCAGCTTCTTTATCCCAGCCGAGACTTGGATTGAAGCCAGGACGGCGGTTGGGTTTATCCCAGAACATCAGTGCCCTCCCCCCATTGCTTTTGCTTCGTCCGTAGCCGCTAGGCTTGAACCCGCGTCCGTCGGCCCAGTCTCGGCTCTATATGCCTCATGGGTGGCGACGTTGGAAAGGACGGTGTACGAGCATCATGGAGTGGATGGCCCGCCTTCGCTATCACGTGGCAGAGGGTATTCTTTCAAGGTCGTTGAACAACGTGTACCCAACAAAGGTAGGCTAGTGCCGTATCGCGATGTGGTGGCTTCATGGTGGGAGCGAGTCCACACGGTTTTGCACAGATTAAACAATCATCGTACACGGGGAAACGGCTATGCCCAACAGTCCCAATTGCAAATCGCTTGTCGTAACTTGTTGGACGAGTCACCTGATCAGGCCCACAGGGGCCTACGCGAAGGAATCGACCCGTCTTGGGAGATTTGGAAAAGTGTGCTGTTTCAGGGAGCTCCAGAACACCAGTAGAAGCTCGCAGATTTTGTTTACTCGGCCAAGAAGATAGCTTCTCGCTGTCGCTGCCGTGCCATGCGAGCCTCGATTGCTGAGTTCCGAGATTGGATGGCACAGCCAGCTGCATCGGGCGTCTTGCACCGTGCGATGCGGCAAGAACCTTTGCCCCTAGACGAGGTCACAGTCGGCCAGCAAGTAGTATTTCACCCACGGGATATTGTTGATGCCAAAGCGAAGGTTTTTAGAGACCTCTGGGCCCCTGGACCTCTGGAGGAAACCAAGGTTCTCGAAGCTTTCGAGAGAGCCCGAGTCGAGGCTCGTCAGGATCCCCTGGAGCCAATCTCAGTGTCGGAGATTCGCCAGGCAGTCCATGCGATGCGCCCTCGCGCAGGTATGGGTGTCGATGTTTTGTCGCCGACGGACGTTGAGCGACTACCAGATGTTGCCCTGGACGAGTTAGCTCGCATGTATGGAGTGATCGAGGAGACCCTCACATGGCCATCACAGTTGGGATTAACCATTGGGCGCATGATCCCCAAAAAAAGCCTCAGGGGACAGGGTCATAGGGCTGCTCACGATGGTTGCTAGAATTTGGAGTCTCACACGCGAACCCCTGGTCAAGACTTGGGCCAATGAGTCCGAGCCCATGTGGGACGCTGCGATTTCAGGAAATGCTGCTTTACGAGAGGCTTTTATGAGAGTCTGCGAGGAAGAGGTTTCAGGCACCCTTGGGATTCCCACGGGCCATGGGCTTCTGGACATCCAGGGTTTCTACGACGCCATGAAATGGTTTCTACTTATACCTGCAGCAATACGTTTGGGATTTCCTTCTGTAGTCTTGGTGCTAGAGCTTGTACAATGCCTCATGCCTCGTGCTGTAGGTCAATGTGGAGCTTTCGCCGAACCCATACTCCCAACGAGAAGCATTGTGCAGGGTTTACGAGGAGGAACCAGGTTTGCGAGATGCCTTACATATTTTATCTTATCAAAGATCACTACCGCGCATCCAGGCATGGGTTCGAGGATCTGGATAGATGATCTATCTCAGCGGGTCCATGCATCACGAGCACAGTTGCGCCGAAGATTACTATCAGGTCTTTTGGACACCTGTCGTGCCCTCCAGCGCGAGTCTTTGACCGTCTCACCAAAGAGCATCATCTTGTGCTCTAACATTGCCGATGCGAAGTATATCTCCATGAAACTCCGGGTTGCTGGTTTTGTTGTTCATCCCCAATCTCAGGCTGGATATCTCGGGGTGGATTTAGGAGGAGGTATACGTCATGCTCGTCAACAACGGTCGAAAAGAGTGGTTAAAGGCAAACATATGCATCGGAAAGTAGTGGGGTTTGCACGTGCAGCTCGGCGGTACGTCGTTACCAGCAAGCTGACAAGAGTCGGCGCACTTTCTGCCCAGCTCTACGGGCACCAGTTGCACGGAGTCTTTGGCACGGCCATGCTGGGAGCCCGACGGCAGCTCGGAGCGGCTTGCGGCACTGGCAAGAAGGGCCGATGTTTGACAACTCTGTTGGATATCAGATGCCCTGGAGGGGACCCAGCACGTACTCTGCCGCGAGCCTGCCTCGACCTCTGGCTTCGCCAGTGGCTATCGCTGCCCACAATCAGGCCAGGCATATCTCGGGCCTGGCCCAAGTTATTGGAACGTTTGCGAAGCACCCCTGAGAATCAGAGATCTCGGTGTGTTCGGGGTCCCACTGGTGCCGTTATTTTGTATTTACTCCAAGCAGGTTGGGACCCCGCGGAGCCCTCGCATTGGAACGCTCCAGGGGATTGTGATGATTTAGCTGCTTGGCGTTTCCCATCTTCAGAGTTGGCTGGAAACCTGATCGAGGATAATCCTGATCCCCTCTTGGACGATTTCGACCAGACCATCCAGAATCAGCTTTGGAGGAACGCTTCCCAGCACTATTGTGGAGAAGGTATGCAGTGGGGGATCGATAATTATTCATTACGACGTCTATTGAAGCAGCTGCTTTTCGCCCCACACGGGAACCGTTTAAATGAGTTGCTAGTATCAGTGGCCACAGGCGGAGCCTGGCCACGAGTACGCCGACATGAGCAGCTGAAGGGAAACCAAGATGTTTTATGCCCCAGATGTTCCGAGGAGCCCGAGACCCCTTTCCACAGGTTCTGGGGATGTGCTGAGAACAGGGGTTGTAAGGCATATACAGATTCTGATTCGCTCACGCCGGCAGCGTACGCAGGTGCAGAGTCTGAAGCATGCTTTTGGCTACGAGGCCTCATTCCAGCGGCCTGGACAGCAGTGCCGCAGCCTCCGTCTCAGGAGAGCTGGCACATCAGAGGCAGCTCGTCGAACGATCTGGAGGGATGTCTTGGTGAAGGGTCCTTTCACGAACCCATCATTGTGTTTGGCGATGCAAGTGGAGGGAGAAGTGCTGCTGACCAACGTTTTATTCGTGTCGGGCTCGGAATTGTTACTTTTGATTCGTTCGAACCCTGCCGCATTCGTTCGTCGGTCAGTGGTCCCCTGGTCGGGAAATCTCAGTCGGTGCCCCGAGGCGAACTCAGAGCACTTTTGTTGGCAGTGGAATGCACGCGAGGCTTCGTTTGTTATGTGACTGACAACGATGCTGTTGCCCAAGGCTTTTATTCTGGTTTGTACAAGAGGCCCTCTGGGCCCAACGCTGACCTTTGGTTGGCCCTGGGGAAAAAGTTGCAAGCCCGTCCAACTCAGTTGAGTGTTCTTTTTGTCAATTCACATCTGACTGCAGATGATATTGTTGCGCGCGAGGTTCCTTCCTGGCTCGCCCAGGGCAACCTTGCAGCTGACGAGGCCGCCAGTGCGGCAGCCCACCGAGCCCGCGTCCCCGACGAGGCGAGGACGAGGGCCTACCAGGCCGAGGCAACGGCCGCCCTGGTGCGGCACCGCCTCCTGCGCGCCACGGCGGACGCGCTGGAGGCCGAGGAACGGGGTGGGAACGGCGCCGTGAGGAGTAAGGACCCACCTCCTCCTCCCCCCCCCGCCCCTTCCCTCGTTTCTTCCTTTTGTTCCGCCCATTCTCTCAGTGATGATCGTAAGAGTTGTTTACGGTGCTGTGGCTCAGCATCCTTGGCCACCCAGAAGGAATGGTGGTCGTCCTCATGTTTCCATCCCGTCACGCTTGACAGTAAATATGCAGCTGTTCCTCGGGGGGGGCGGCTCCACATTGCTGGGGGGTGGATCGATTCGACTCATGCGATGCGATTCCAGCTTGCACACAAAGTTTGGTTCTGTCGTGGTTGCGGTCGATACGGCAGCCAACAGAATCGTGCTCTTAGTAAGCCGTGTGACTTTCAGATCCCTGCTCACCGACGAGAGTACCTCGATCGAATAGAGCAGGGGAAGTGGCCTAAGCTTCTTAGCAAAGCTGAGCAGCGAAGCCGACTTTAGTTTGTAAACTCGACTACGTCGAATGGCTCGATACTCGATACTCCTCCTCCTCCTCCTCATCCTCCTCCTACTCCGCCACCAATTCCTCGTCCTCCTCCTCCTTCGCGAATGCCAACAGGAGGAACAGCAGGAGGAACCACAGGAAGAATAGCAGGAACACGAATGTGAGCACCGACACATGCCTTTCGGCACCACTACGTGCCTGTGAGCTCGGCGACGCAACAGGTAGTGAGCCTGCGAGCGCCACAACAGCACCAAAGCATGCCTTTCAGCACCACGCCATGCCTGTGAGCATAGCCCGCCCCCCCAGCATTTGGGGGGGGGTCCAGGCTTCCACGCCCAGTACGATCGTCAGCGTTACCCGGGGGGGAGTGGTTGGGGGGGGTCTGGGTAACGAGCGTCGCGCGGAGGGAAAAAATAAGCACGCGCACTTATGGGGGTGGGGGGCAGGGAGGGGGGCATACAGTGGAGGCCAGTCCACAAGAAACCTTCCACGAGAAACCCAACCCTGAGACCCCAGGACGTCCATTGATTTTTGGTGAGGGAACGTCACGCTCTCCACCGCAAAGCCATCGAAAACCAAGAAACCCAGGGCACCCTGGAGGCGAGCAGGGCGTGTCTTGGCATGGGCCTCCACTGCACGTAACGCGCGTGTGTGTGTGGCCCACGAGGTTGACAAGATCACTCTCCAGGGAGGTCTGGGGGCCCAGCGCCGCCTGGTCGACGAACGGCGCCAGGGGCGAGCAGCCGTACGGAGGCGGCATCCAGGCGCCGCAGAACTGCCCCGGGTACTGCCCCGGATCTGCGCCGTGAGGGTACTGCCCCGGATACTCCGGCGGTGC